CTGAGTACAATGACTGTGACATTATAATCTCTGTATGCTTCAATTTAAAGTTCAAAAACGATTAAAAATGAAACCTTTGTGTAACATCAACATAATTAAAATCTTGATTGAGAACTTTTCAAAAAACTGTAAATCTCTTTATCTTTGTGCGTCCGGCGCGTCGACAGGTACGATTGTCATCGACAACAGCTCTTACTGTTTCATTTTTAACTTTTACACTAATAACAGTCTTATTCCCCCGACGTTACGAATGAATCAAGTTCTTTGAAGGTGTGTTGTGCGCTCGCTCGCCTCGTCTGGCTTTTCCATCACTGTCAATTAGTTGCACTGAAGACTGCTCATCAATCATAAACAGTCAAGACTAGCTCACCCTCAGGGTCTATTGTTTAGATTTTGAATCTTTGGATATCTGTTTAAATTATTTCTGGGGCTACCAAATAGGAAGAACCAAAATTCTGTATCAGACGAAAATAATACAGGTAGACTTTAATCAATACTATAGTATTTTACAAGTCTAGTTGCGATCGATGTAAGTTAATAATACTGATGTATTTAGTGACAAAGTTACATACAAACTGATTCCTTATCTCTATAATAATATTTCTATCATTTGCTAACACCTTGCTTGGTAATGTTTGTTTTTAATTTATAGACTATCTGTGATATACGAGTCAATTAAGTGGTATATCCTTGAACATTGTAATTTATGTTAGTAACTGTCTTGTTTTAACCCACTTACTCCTACCAGGCGTTATAACACCGCTAAAAAGTAGTTCGGAATATCCTCAGATAAATTATAAAAATATCGAGAATTTGTTTACTGTTCCTTGTATTTTCTCTTCATTACGAATCAAGCTGTAATTAAGTATGTTCGATATCGCATATTTGATTTATTTTGTTAGTTTTTTATTATTTTGAATTCTGTTATTTAGTTTTGTGCAAAAACGTCTAATAAATGGTAAAATATTTCATAAACCTGCTAGTAATACCTCAGATTATACTAATTATTATTTTATGTACTACTGATAGCTACAAAACAATAAACATATGTTTTTGAAAAGCTTTACATTTTTGAGACTTTTTATGACAAAATTACGATCGGTGTTTTAACACCTGGTCGCATAATCGACGTCTAACCTGTATATTCATTAAAAGTTTAGGCCACGATGTAAAAGACCGCTGAGACTTCACGAAATTGTGGACGTATTAGAAAACATTGACGACAATGCTCAGATACCGAATCACATAGCAATTTTGCCACCAGAAAATGCTAATGCAGAAGCAACGGATGAATATTCTGGTGAAGAAGACCACGTTACCTAACAAAATCTTCCAGGTTAGCCTGGTTCCGTTTATCTAACTATAACCTGGAAGATTTTGTAAGGTAACGTGGTCTTCTTCACCAGAAAATTCATCTGTTGCTTCTGCATTACTACTTATAGCGTGTAAGTTTTCTATTGATATTTTTCGTGAACTTCCAAGTTCGCAACTTAGAGCCTAGGCAGAAGTACTGTACGACAAGTCTTCTTCAGATAAAGATGATAACATCCCGCTCTCTGATTTTTTTAAAGTAAGACGAAATGAATCTAATGATGCCTCCAATGCAGTTAGTTCTTCTGCCATGAAAGTACCTACCGCAATCACAATTACAACAATGTAATATAGTGCAAGTACCTTCTGTGAATGTTCTGTGCCAAAATGTCTAAAATATACATGGCAAAGCAGTCATACTCCGAAACAATATTTATGAAGAATGGCACCACAACCAGGGTCTACGGAGCTTACATCCCTCCCTACGTACTACTTTACTTACGAGTACTACACGCAACTGGTAAAATTTGCAAGAAAAAATCAATTTGGTGTAAAAAAATGCGCCACGTACTAAAGCATCCTGGGTATGATTTATGTCTTACCATATACCATACCTCTGAATAAGATTTTGGTATTTTTCTAGTAAATGAGTATAACTTACAAATCGTTTTTAACTCTTAAATCTAACAAAATCATAGTATGTTTTTTTCTCATAGTAGTAGTTGTGGTAGTAGTCCATTCTCCGACCAGGTGTTAAAACACCACCCATTTTCCGGCTTTTCTATTTGACCAAGAATTTTTCTAATATTTTTCTGTAGACACTTGACCTCTATTTAGAAACATACTAAAAATTTATAAAAATTGACAAATATAAAAAGTTTCAGGAGTATCTGGGTTAATTTATTATAACTTTTTTGAGGCTCCCAAAAAGCAATTGTCATTAAATACATGATTGTATGTAGGTAACAAATTGTTTAATAGAAACAATTAATCATTTTTGTCGTCATGACTCACGACAATTCAATAAAACACTCAAGGCCATTCAGTTCTTTGACTTCAGATTTGTTTTAAACCATTTTAGTCATCTTTTTATCGATTAAGATCGATTTGTTGTCTCTTTAAAGAATTTAATAATCATTACAATCCATCATACTGTGTAATGGACAGCATTCCATATCAGAATAAATTCTAAGGCGAATATGTTAGCGCTACATTTTATTGCCTCAAACACATGTGCCTGTTTTTAAAATTCACAGTGAAACTGCGAAATTATTCAAACAGTGTCAGGTGCCCCCTACCCGCACGACGTTAAACTCAACTTTGGCGCGAACTTGTCCCGATTCCGGCCGCTCATCAAAACACCGCCACAGAGTAGAATTAATCGCTGCAACAACGTTACTATCTGCCTCTACCCACTAAAATAAGGCTCGACTTTTTTTATCTGCGACGTCTGGAATCTAAGTCGGGCTATTTCCGATCGCGTGCATGTCGCGAGGGAAAGAGAGCACAATACCTGTCACATAAACACGAGTGATTGATTGACCCGCACCCGACTAATGCTCATAGGAAGCTATAAACAGCTGGCGATTTTGTTTGAAACTTTTAAAAAGTTGCGGCCGAATTGGATGGATTCGGGATATGATTTCTGTCAAATCACGGTTACCGATACTAAAGTTGAAATGACTTAGGAATTTCTACCCGATATTCCTCTTTCGAAGATAGATAGATTGATGGACCTGCGACTGACATCAAATCATATTCAGGTGTCTTCGGGGATAAAGAAATAATTTTTCCTTGTTTTATTATAACTACGTCGATGATGCAATATCCGTTGGGTTTGTTGATTTTTGTCGGACTTTTACTTATATTTACCCAATTTGGCGACATCGTAACTGAAAGTAACTTTCTTACTTCACCCTCGTANTATAAGTTATGTTATCACCAAGTGTCGCATTTCGGAAATCTTCGGAACATTGTCATTTTGGACTTTGAAATAAAAAAAATAAAAAATTTAAATAACTGCCAAATTTTGTAAAAATAACTACGCCAATGTGTTCCTTTGCCAAAAAGAAATATTTTATGTTATGTAACTTTTCTTGATAACTTTATTATTTAATAAGTTATTGACAATAATTACTTTATTTTTGTATGGAGCTCAACATTTATTTTTATTTTATTCGTTATTCTTAAGCTTTCTTAAGAAATTGCTTTTTTTATTATGTAATGCATCATATAAGCTATATTATCACCAAGGGATGAATCCCGGAAACCCTCGGAACATTGTCATTTTCGACTTTAAAATAAAAAAAAACGAAAAAGAAAACTGCAATGTTATGTACTTTCTTCCGTACTACCCTAACGAGGTGAAGAACTAAGCGCGTTTTTTATAGTGGTGTTCCCAGGAGGCCTTATCCACATGATTACTAAGGTTACTAAAATATAATATTAGTTTTATGGACAGTTACTTTCGCATTTATAATATTAGTTGGGATTTTGATATGGCTTTACAAATATATCACATCGCTGCTTGTGTAGAGCTGCCATTTATCAACGATATTATTTTTCTATCTATTGAGTGAGAATCAGTTATTACGAGATTGTTTTGCTTCCAGAATTACGATCTATTAAATTTTCAATTTCCGCGTCCATTAAGTTTTTTTCATTGATAACATTAAAATAGGTCGACAGTAATTAAATGCAGCTTATTTTGAATAAAAAAAATGGGTATCCTTCATAAAAGACAATGCCGGAAATTGGCGTCTTTTTTTTTTCGCGCGGCCATCGACCAAACCATGTTTTTTGGATACAAAATAGTAAAATAAACCAAACTTACTATGACATGTATACCTCTAAACTCAGTCTGAACTGAGTTACGAGCGTTAGAAGTTTGATGATTTACATACTAGATTTGCTTTTTGCGCCCAAGTTTTGTAAGAAATTGCAACAAAATAGTGACATTGTATGTATAAACAAACAATACCATCCATTAAAGGCTCCAGACATCAGTGTGGAGTAGAATCAGCGCAATAAAAAAATAGCTCAATATTTTGTTGCAATTTCTTACAAAACTTGCGCGCAAAAAGCAAATCTAGTATGTAAATCATCAAACTTCTAACGCTCGTAACTCAGTTCAGACTGAGTTTAGAGGTATACATGTCATAGTAAGTTTGATTTTTCCTTGTTTTATTATAACTACGTCGATGATGCAATATCCGTTGGGTTTGTTGATTTTTGTCGGACTTTTACTTATATTTACCCAATTTGGCGACATCGTAACTGAAAGTAACTTTCTTACTTCACCCTCGTAAATAAATAAACCTGAGAATATTTTCCTTTGTCAAAGCAGGAAATCTGTTCATGATACGCGTAAATCCGTCCCTGTCCCCTGTCTGTCCCGGTGTTGTTAAAAGGACTCGTCTCAACGTTTTGTTAACGCACCATTTCCTTGTCAACGCCGTCAGCCCCGTCCGGCCAATCTTCTAAGCCCCCGAGACTTACATTTCGGACGTATTGTGAGCGAGCGACGAGATAAATGTGTAAACAGAGTCATTAAAATTATATAGCGCCTATTGGCCGTCAAGGTTCTTCTGTACATTTTTCATTGGCGTTAAGACGGTGAGTCAGGTCGCCGAGAGCTCGGCTGTGTCAGTCGGCTGTCATCAGAGCGATCGCCCGTCACTGCACGTCCACCTCGCGCATCGCACGCACGCTTGCATTACGCATCGCACCACCCCTCGAAGCGGAATACGTGTGGCCGTCTCCGTCTGGCGCGTGGATTGGCCTGCTACGCTGGCGGCTGTCTCGCTCTGGCGAGGGGCGTGCGGGGCGGGGGCGCTGCAGGCGGGTCGTAAATCAAGCGGTCTCATTCCACGCGGGACCGTCTCGGCCGCCGCAGGCTCCGCGCACTTCCCTCCCGACCGCCGATCGCGGCGCGTCTTTCGCGACGTGTTTACAATTCCTAAAACTGGGAAGTCACTTGGTTGTCTTTTGAAATTGTGTTCACCTATCTGAGTGTTGTTTGATGGATCCAAGAGTTCTTCGTGGCGCATCGTTTTGGATATATTGAAAAGATTGCGTCCAAAATGATTGTCGAGCCGGACCACGTGAGGTACGTTTGTTTAATCAAGTGTTTTATAGTTTTCGTATCTAATGCGCCGTGTTTCTATTGTTTTCGAATACTGTTGAGTGTAGATTTTACTTTTTACGTAGTTTATTTTCATTGGATTGATACTTTTTTTACTTTTCATCGAAGCGAAGAAGTTTGTAACTTTGTTCTTTTTAGTTTTTACTTACTTTATCTTTTTGATTCCTACTTTTTCCTAAGCTTTCAAAATTTTAAAATACTCTTAACTAGTCTACTGTTGATTTGTCAAATTCATTGCATTAGACTGGTGATCAGCTACCACTTCAAAAAAAATCTTGCTCCAGAAATAAAATTCATTCCAATTGGTTTCAAAATGCAACCAAGTTATTTAAAAGAACTGGTGTGAAATTGGTAGTCTTACTGATCAAACATTTTGACCAAGAATTTGTAAAAATTTCATAACTTTAGTTTAAGTTACTTTGTGTTTATTTCATTCATTTCCATCTACTAACTTTTGTTTAGTGTAAAAATATTTATTTTTATATCAAAGTTCACTATCAATAACAACATTCCTTTGCCGAATCATAAATAATTTGTCGCGTTTTCATCAATTTACGTCGAATTCATTTGTTTGTGATTAATATCTGCATTATTATGAGTAATTGCGATAAACTCGTATCTGTGCCGTGGATTTAATATAATAATCCATCTTCGTATGGTCGTAAACGTTTATTGTTGCCTTTAATGGCCGGTTTATCCTTTTAATTCATGTGTATTACTTTCTGCGTTGTTTATTGCTGGTAATGGCCTGATTTCGAGACGGACAGCGAACGGGGATGAGTCGTAAATAATAACGAAAACATTGTACAACAACAAATCAAACATTAAGTAGGGTAANTAATTATTATTCATTATGACAAAATGTTAATTAGCCCCGAAATAGAAGCTCACGCAAAAAAGGCTATTAAAAGTATGTTTACAGGCAATATGCAAATTTTTTGCCATCTCAAATTGATCGTCTCCTAACAGGAAATTTAGTAAGTGAATTACGTCAATCTAACGTCAGTCGTTTTTGTCCGCAGGGATAGCCCGAGATGTCTGTCTCGGGAGTCGTCGGGCGCGCCGCGGTGTCCCTCCAATGACTCGGTGTACTCGGGCCGCAGCGGGCCGGGGCTCCCGCTGCCCGCCGCGCTGACGGCTGCCCTCCCCGCCGCCCTCCCGGCTGCCCTCCTGCCCCCGCACTCGGCGGCCGTCGCAGCATACCTCGGCGCCGCCGCAGCTGCCGCAGCCCAGCAGAGACTCCTCATGTCCTGTCAGGAGGACCTCACCGACTCCGAACGAGCCGACGCCGTATTAGACTTCAGCACGAAACGCAGCGACTCGCCCCACGACGACGAGGACGCAGACGACGCTGTCAATCTGAGTAAGAATGAAAATGGACCTCTCGACCTTTCAGTTGGCACGAGGAAAAGAGGACCGGAGAATTCTCCGTCACCGGTCCCGACCAGGAAAAGCTCGAGAACCGAGTACAAACCCACGCCTTCGCCGTGGACGACACCAGTCGCGCCGCACTTGCCATACTTTGCTGCCGCAGTTGCTGCAGCCAGCCTGTCTCCCAAAGGAGGCGTGCCAGCAGACTGGAACGGTAAACTCAAACATGGAGCTCCTACACCTAGTGATGCGACTAAGGCCTTAGAGAAGATGAGCGAGCTCAGCAGATTGGGTGGCGAAGAATTATTTAGGTCAGTCCAGAGCGCCGCATTAGGAGCGGGTTTAGCACCCAATGCAGCCGCCAGGCACTCCGCCTGGCAGTCTCACTGGCTAAACAAAGGCGCCGATCAAACTAAAGACGTTCTAAAATGCGTCTGGTGTAAGAAGAGCTTTAATTCTCTAGCAGACTTGACAGTCCATATGAAAGAAGCGAAACACTGTGGCGTTAATGTTCCTGTACCACCATCGGGGGGCGGCCCCATACCACAGTCGTTACAGCCGCCATCTAGCTCACCTTCGACGCCTTCACACAATTCATCATCTTCGAGCAGCTCTTCCAAGCCTAATCAGAGCGATCTGAATATGCTGATCAAGGAAAACATGCCGATTCCTAGGAAGTTAGTTCGTGGCCAAGACGTTTGGCTGGGCAAAGGTGCGGAACAAACTAGGCAGATATTGAAATGCATGTGGTGCGCTGAGAGCTTCAGATCCCTGGCTGAAATGACCAGTCACATGCAGCGAACTCAGCATTATACGAATATTATATCCCAAGAGCAAATAATTTCGTGGAAGTCTTCCGATGAAGCCAAGAACTCAACCTCTGCTGGACCTGGGGCCAACAACGCGGCGCCTCCCACCACGGGCACTAGTAGTCATGTTAGCGCAGTCTTAACTTGTAAGGTTTGCGACCAAGCATTTAGTTCCTTGAAAGAATTGAGTAATCATATGGTTAAGAATTCACATTACAAAGAGCACATAATGCGTTCGATTACTGAGAGTGGCGGCAGGCGTCGACAGACTCGCGAAAAAAGGAAGAAATCACTTCCAGTTAGGAAACTACTCGAACTAGAGAGAGCACAACACGAGTTCAAAAACGGTGAGGGAAACGGCGTTCCCATGGGGAAGCCGATTAGGGATTTTGGGGTGGGTAGTAGGATTACTTGCGAAAAATGCGGTGATAAAATTGAGACTGCGGTGTTCGTTGAACACGTACGACAATGCATAGGCGCGCCAATGTCAAATAGCCAAAGGAATTTTCTGAAGAGCGCACTTCTTTCGAATAATATCATCCCTCCTGACGTGCCCGGGCACATCACGCCGACCGGCCGCGACGGTCGCAAGAGCATTAATGATGAACAGCCTTCTCCCGGTTCTGCTCACCACCGCTCCCCTTCTTCGGTGAACGATTCTTCCCCTAGTTCCAAAGATCCCAACGCTAGCAATGATCAAAGCTCGTCTCCGTCAGTACTCAATGCCATAGAACAATTGATAGAAAAGAGTTTTGACACGCGATCGCGACATTCTGTCCCCGGAATGCCCGGTGGGGCGGCTCATGCACCCATCGGCTCTAGTATTCTGAAAAGATTAGGAATAGATGAGAGTGTAGACTATACAAAGCCGCTGGTAGACCAGCAAACGATGAACATGCTGAGGAACTATCATCATCAGCAGGGCTACGGTCGCAGAGAGCGCAGTGGCAGCGAATCTAGCTCCATGTCTGAACGTGGCGGCAGCAGAGTTGAATCCCTCACTCCCGATAGAAAGTTAGATGCTTATCACATGACGCCTCGTACCACCCCTGACACTCGCGGTTCTCAAACTCCCGCTTCAGAAGATCGTCCTACCGAAATTCGAATAAAGAAAGAAGTTACTGAAGATGAGGAGCGTGAGAATGGCGTGGATCTGAGCAGTCAGCCAGTCCGTGTTAAAACTGAGGTCGATGAGGAGGAGGAGCCTCCCCGGCCGGGCAGTTCAACTGAAGACGATATCAAACCGGTCGCCAAACGCGAAAGCGAAGGGCCCAGCCCCGCTGCTAGTCCTCGCAGTCCAGCCAGCGACCGCTCTGGTCATACTCCTGGGGCTGATAGAAAGCCGCCATCTAGCTTGGGTGCGCTCTCGTCTATGTTCGACAACTTAGCTGGTGGGGGTTCGGGAAACGAGCCTAGTTCGTCGCGTCGCAGCGGCAGCCATCCCCTGGCTGCCCTGCAGAAGTTATGCGACAAAACTGAAACTAACCCATCTCGTGCGCCCGCGCCGGCTCCGTCCCCGGCCGGCCCTCCCAGTATTCTGACCTTCAGTTGGGCTTGCAACGACGCTGTCGTCACAGATTCCATCATGAAGTGCGCTCTGTGCGACACTCCCTTCATATCCAAAGGTGCATATCGACACCATCTCTCCAAAATGCATTTCGTCAAGGATGGGGCGCTGCCGGAGCCGGTGCCCATGAAGGCCCCGCCGGCCGCCGCGTCGCCTGGCACCCACAAGAGCGGCGGCTCCAACGCTGCTTCCCCTCAGGACCCCAGGAGCCCCTCGCAATCTTTCGATGAGAGTCCCCACTCCAAGTTTTTGAAGTATACGGAACTAGCGAAGCAGCTTTCCAGTAAATACGTGTAGACTGTACATAGGGTCTGACGGGCCATCAGTTGTGATGATACCATATCCTGCTACGTTAACCTTGCTAGGGTTAGGTCGTGCCGACGACAAGTATTTCGAAACTCTTTGCCAATTTAATTATTTAGGTAATTATTGTTAGAGTTCACCGCATAGTTCGGTTAGTGTAATTAACGACTAGCGATTTAAGTATACGCCAAACGTCTTACGTTCGTTTAGATGTAAGAGAATATTTTCAAAATATTGCCTTTAGGTCGATTACGGTTGCTGGTGGCCGGAGAGGCCACGCTTTTCTTCCACACTACGTTATTCCATTTCGATAATTGTAAATATAAGTCACATTAAGTCATAAAAGTTCGATTCGATCTCTTGTAAATGTATATTTTTTGCTAATATTCTAAAAATGGATAATTTCGTATTTTGAATTGCAATTGCCTTTTGCATGTGGTCGAGGAGACCGACGTCGCGTTGTCGTTCTTTCAGTATTTTTTTAAAAATCGTTGCAATATCTTTTTTTTGTGTTACTTAATTTTTTATGTAAATCAGAGTTAGGATTAATGTGGTCTTTAGTTTATTTTATGTATATTTTGAAGTGTTCTTGTTTTTTGGAGAGATCCGTCGATGCCGCAATCTCGGAGATCCAATCTCATTCATTTTGTTCGTGTTGTAAATATGACATAGAACGTGTAGGGTTGGACTGGATCTGTCAGCTGTCAGTCGGTAGTATCGCCATTGTCACTTACGCTATCCTCGGTGTGAAGGACAGTTTTATAATTTGACAGACACTGACAGATTCAGTTGAACGCTACAAACAATCTCTTTAGTGTAAATTTTGCTCTAGGTACGCTCTCAATGCGAGATTGCTATTTATTATTTAGTATTAAGTACATAATGTTAGGAGACCTACGTCTGTGACACTTGTATACCATTATACCCGCATTATTGATTGGTTGAGAAACCAATTATATATTTAAAAAGTGATACGTTATACAGTTTTTTCTTTGAAAGGATTGACTACATTGTATACGTTTAGAACCTTCAGAATTATTGAGAGATATCTTCCAATGTAACATCAGATATACGAAGTGTATATACGGTACATACGAGTGAAAAGCTCTTTTATATTTAATAAAAAAATATTGTAAACTGTGTAATGTAAGTGTCGAGAGATACGATGTAAATTGATAGTTTGAGACGATGTAGTTTCCTTTATAAAATCATTCATAAAGTTCCAAACAAGACAGAAGTACAACACTATTTTTAATATGATTACTAAGCAGTACTATCTTACGCCCTTCCCTTACTACGTAGTCTCAAATTACCAGTGACTTAAATCAAAAATTTTAAATCTTAAAACTATCATTTTAACGATAATAATAAAACATACGACAAATATTATGTATACGCTAACTCTGATGAGAGATTTTTGCTCATTCTTTAATAAAAAAGGTGTTGAAATATTGATTTTACCAAATTTAATAATCTTATTTAATATTTTATGTTGTATTTCAAAATGCAATTAAAAGCTCAAAGAAATATATATGTTACATACATTACATGATTATTTTATTTAATAAAACCCCTACTAAATCTGCACACACATCTAAAAAGTTACAGACACACACGCACACACTCACTCAGACTAATGATGCAAACTGGATATAAAAGTATCCAATAACATTATTATAAGTTACAATATTTTATTAATGAGATCTATGAAAGTACACTGAAAACAATAACAGATGTTGAAGGTTGTTACATTATGGAGTAGTGCATGGTGCGTCATGTTCTACGGCACCCGGGTTCGATACCCCGCCGATGTTTTGGTTTGCTGGAAGAAGCAACATTTCGACAAGAAATATTTCTTCGTAAAATACGTTATTTATAAGAAAGATCTACGAGAAACGCTTGATAAGCTGGTATAATATTGATTGATATTAATTTTAATCAAGATCTCAGTAATGCATATTATTATTATGTAAGTAACTACTCGTACGTACCTACAACTAGCATAAAATAGGATCACAAATTTTTCCACATAGTTTTACAGAAGATGCCCTTCGCCTACAGTAAAAGCTCTACTTTTTCACATAGTTCTTTCTTTTATGTACCTTTGATTACAAAAAACTTCGAATCAAAATATTCTCAGCAACTGACATCGACACATAGAAACAGAATTAGTTAAATCTAGATCACTTAGGCTGAGTTGCACCACCTAATTTTGACCGTAAGTTTAACGATAACGGATGTTTTTTGTATGGAGTTTGACAGATTTCTGACGTTTGTCAAAGTTAAAGTAAGATGGTGCAACCCAGCCATAGAGACCAAATAGATTTTTTAATAACCCTAAAGAAAATATAGCATAATTTAATCACCTCAACACCCCAAACGAGGGTAGATCAACAAAACACGAACAATAACATTAGACAAGCGCCGCGGCCGCGAAATATCACTAAGCATTAATTAAGATAACCTTTGTTCCTTCACGTCCCGAATCAGTCAACGGGACGTCTTAACTCCGCTTGTCAGGGCTGTCAATTGGGCTCTTAAATATAATTCGCTATTTTTAACTACCTACAATAAATAGAAGTCATAAAAAACTAATTTATTTTTGTAAATAATCTTTTAAAAAGCACTTTTACACGTCCCAGTATTAACCCTACCACTGCTTCGGGACAATAAATGGGCCAGTGCTGATGATTGAATTGATTGAATGATTCAATTTAAATTACCGTCTCCATGTTTGCATATGATACGAATAATCTCAGAATTTATAAGGACTTTGACAATGTGTAGTAATACCTAATTCAATAAAATTGTTTTAGTATATTATATTAATCACAGATTTAATACTCTTCAGTGTATTTAGATTGATACTCGAGTTTGGTTGCATTATAAGCCTAAGCCTAACCCCCGGTAGGATACTAAAGTAAGAGTAAATCAACTTTCAAGTACATTAAGAACAACTTTGGCTTACTAATGCCAAATCAATTTAGGACTTATATTATTCTGAATTCAGAAACGAAAGTAGGCTTGATTTCGTACTTAAGCATTAAAATTGCAATTCAGAAAACAGGTGTTAGATTATTATTTCTAGAACGACTACCTTCAAAAACAGATTTAAGCCTATAGACGGTCTGAGTACTCAGACGCATCCTATTATAGCCCATTACTGTATCTTCGACACTGCATGGAGGTGTCAGCCTCGATTAAGAAACCTGCCTAATCTAGTTCCCCAAGCCCTGCACCACCGCTATAGGTAATTTAGCATCGGGCAACCCTAACGAAACCCCGCTTCAATCACGATAATGACGTCATCCGTCGGCGTTTACGCACTCCGACGACACAACACCGCGTAGCCGCTACATCTCTGGTTTAGTTCAGTTCAGGGTAAGTGATGAAGGAGTGAATCGGCAATGTACACGCAGCGACGGGTTCGGAAGTTTGATGGACAAGACGTCACTCAAAGCAACCCTCAAACGGGTCAGGTGGTGGAAATACACGGGTGGGTATTGCGTAAGCGACTTTGTTAAAATAATTAAGAGTACTGATTGGATTTACTTTTATTGTTTATTTGTATCTACGCAGAATGGCTTGTATTTTATAAGATGTGTCTTTTTTGCAATTTGGTCTTTCTAAAGCTCTTCAATAGCTGTTTGTTTGTCATTTTTTATTAATTAGAANAATATGATTACTAAGCAGTACTATCTTACGCCCTTCCCTTACTACGTAGTCTCAAATTACCAGTGACTTAAATCAAAAATTTTAAATCTTAAAACTATCATTTTAACGATAAACATACGACAAATATTATGTATACGCTAACTCTGATGAGAGATTTTTGCTCATTCTTTAATAAAAAAGGTGTTGAAATATTGATTTTACCAAATTTAATAATCTTATTTAATATTTTATGTTGTATTTCAAAATGCAATTAAAAGCTCAAAGAAATATATATGTTACATACATTACATGATTATTTTATTTAATAAAACCCTTACTAAATCTGCACACATCACAACTGAATTGGACCTTAAAAGTTACACACATAAATACACACACACACACACCACAAATCATTCTATATTGAAATCTAAGAAAATCACACGGAAGACAAAAAAGAGCCTTACTGTATAGTTGTTGCAATTCACGAAGGCGAGTGAGCTTTACATGTGTGTGGCACGCTGCTGTTCGTTGTTCAAATGTTTTGATAGACTATGTGCGTACACGTACACACACAAGTAAAACTCACTTGCCTTCGTGAGTTGCATTACGTGATGCGTCGTGCCCTGCGGCCTCCGGGTTCGATACCCCGCCAATCGTTAGGATTGCTGGAAGAATCTACAATTTGACAAGAAATATTTCTTTGTAAAAATAGGCAAATATCATTATTGATAAGAAAGATCTACGAGAAACGCTTGATAAGCTGATAATATTATAATATTGATTGATTGATATTAATTCTAATCAAGATCTCAGTAAAGCAGTAACCCATAAGTGCCTACTCGTACGTATAACTAGCATAATACAAGTTCTCTAATTTAACATAGTTTCTTCAATAAAAACCCTTCGCCTACAGTACAAGCTCTACTTTTTCACATGGTTCTTTCTTTTTACCTTTGCCATTTTTAATTAATAAAACTTCGAATCAAATATTCTCAGCAACTGACTTCGACTTCTACATAGAAACAGTATCAGCTAAATCTAGATCAGTTAAAAAACTAAGTAATAGATTTTTTAATCACCCTAAAGAAAATATCGCATAATTTAATCACCTCAACACCCCAAACGAGGGTAGATCAACAAAACACGAACAATAATATTTGACAAGCGCCGCGGCCGCGAAATATCACTAAGCATTAATTAAACTAACCTTTGTTCCTTCACGTCCCGAATCAGTCAACGGGACGTCTTAACTCCGCTTGTCAGGGCTGTCTATTGGCCCCTTAAATATAATTCGCAATTTTTAACTACATACTGATATAAATAAAACTAAAAAAAACTCAAATTATAACTCATTTATTTTTGCAAATAGGCTTTTAAAAAGCACTTTTACACGTCCCAGTATTAACCCTACCACTGCTCCGGGACAGTAAATGGGCCAGTGCTGATGATTGAATTGATTCAATTTAAATTACCGTCTCTATGTTTGCATATGATACGAGTAATCTCAGAATGTGTAGTACCTAATTCAATAATATTGTTTTAATTTCTATTTATTTTTCTATTATATTTTTAGTTTAATAATAGATTTAATACTCTTCAAGTTTGGTTTCTTTATAGCCTAACCCCCGGTTTATGAATAATGAAGTAAGAGTAAATCAACTTTGAGATTCTTTGAGAACAACTTTGGTTTACTGATGCCAAATCAATTTAGGACTTATATTATTCTGAATTCAGAAACGAAAGTAGGCTTGATTTCATACTTAAGCATTAAAATTTCAATTCAGATCCCAGGGGTTAGATTTTAATTCTAGAACGACTACCCTCAAAAAATGGATTTAAGCTTATAAATCGGTCTGAGTACTCAGACGCATACTATTACCACACTATTACGAGCCATTACTGCATGGAGTGTCAGCCTCGATTAAGAAACCTGCCTAATCCAGTTCCCCAAGCCTTGCACCACCGCTATAGGTAATTTAGCATCGGGCAACCCTAACGAAACCCCGCTTCAATCACGATAATGACGTCATCCGTCGGCGTTTACGCACTCCGACGACACAACACCGCGTAGCCGCTACATCTCTGGTTTAGTTTACGCGAGGGTAAGTGATGAAGGAGTGAATCGGCAATGTACACGCAGCGACGGGTTCGGAAGTTTGATGGACAAGACGTCACTCAAAGCAACCCTCAAACGGGTCAGGTGGTGGAAATACACGGGTGGGTATTGCGTAAGCGACTTTGTTGAAATAATTAAGAGTACTGATTGGATTTACTTTTATTGTTTATTTGTATCTACGCAGAATGGCTTGTATTTTATAAGATGTGTCTTTTTTGCAATTTGGTCTTTCTAAAGCTCTTAGCTGTTTGTTTGTCATTTTTTATTAATTAGAAGTAGGTATAAAGTTTAAAGTGATTTCACAGAATTATGAAGAAAGTCCAAATTAACGCTTTTAAACCATTCTATGAAAATATGTGGGACTTCTTTGACTTTCACCAAATATGAGTTTAGTTGAATTTTTAAAATTAATCTCCTGTCATTTATTATTTACTATTGCAAAAATATAATAACTATCAAAATTACATAGTGCATGCTAAGTATGTAACGTTTCCATTAATTTTGAATTTCTTAAGAAAATTCAAAGGTTTTCTTTCATAATCTTAGCCAGTTAGTATAAATTATGAGATCACACGTCAATAAATTATAAAAAAATCGCCGAAAATCGGTCGCTGACATTACCATACATGTGGGATAGTGATGTAGGCAGACGTTACAAACAAGATAAATCTTCGGAGTTGCCAAACTATCGTATTGACTCGAGAGACGCCGTGTTCACGTATTTATTAACACCTCCAAATAAGCT